AGGCAGAAAAATTTAAACCTGTGAAATATAATTAAAGGGTTCAGAAATGAATTTTTGCAATTGTGTAATCGATAGACTTTTAACAATCGTGCAACTGAAACTTCTTGAATTTGTGACAGGGATTCTAATAAATGATGCCAGGAAAACTGGAAGTCCATATGCAAAAACAAGAAGGGAATTTCGATCCTTTCTTCATACCACATGCAAAAATCAGGACAAAATGAATGACAAATAGAAATGGAATAACTAAAGTTCCTCAAGTTTTAGCAACATAAACATCATATCAGAAGTCACTTTAGGACATTTGAATTAGGCAAGCATATTGCAAATATTGCATCAGAAGCAAAATTCTTAAAACAAGTGAATCAAGTATCTTGGTGAATGTCCATCATCCCAGGCCTCTAGTCAGCTGGTTGAAGCTCAGACTGGCAATTTAGCAACTTTATGAGTTTATATGTCAAAAATAAATCTTTACACTTGAGAGGCTGAGGCAGGAGCATCGCCCTGAGTTTGAGGCCAGCATGGACTACAGTGAGTTCAAGACTAGTCTGAACTACACAGTGAGACCCTGTCTCAAAAGAGAAAGAAAGAAAGAGAGAAAGAAAGAAAGAAAGAAAAGAAAGGAAATATTTAAATTGGGCTGAGCATGTGAATCATTGAGAAGGTCTGTACTGAAAGAGAGAGAATAAACCAAACAAGGCAAAGCAATAAGCAAGAATTCATCAAAATTAAAAAAAAAACTTTTGCACTTCTAAAGACACCTTTGATAAAACCAAGAGACAGACTGTGAAACATTCACCAACAATATTTTTGATATAACACCTTTGGATGGAAACTATGAAGAACTTGTAGGATTTCGTGATAATCAGCTGAAAATCCAATTGTGTGGAAGTGGGCTTAATCTGTGAATAGACACCCCACCCAAGAAAATAGCACAGGTCAAAATATTCAGTAGCCTTATTCATTAGCCAAATGCAAATAAAAAGCACAGTGAGACCCAGTTTCTGGTGCAGTGGCATGAGTATGGTGAAGAAGGTCTCAACACAGTTTAGGTGGAGTTTGGAAAGCTGCAATCTTAATACTTGGACTTCTCAAGTGATGTAGTTATCTTCCTCACTTTCTCATTGCTGGGACAAAACACCTAACATGTACAGATCGAAGGAGAGCTTTGTTTTTGTTCATGGATTTTAGAGGATTCCATTTAAGTTGGCTGGCTCCAAGGCAGGGAGGAAATCTGCTCACAGCATGGCAGGCAGGAAGGTAGACGGATGGCAGGAGCTGAGGTTGCGGAAGGTGATATGCCCTTCTGGGTCACACTGCTCTCCCCAACCTCTTGGAGCCTCTTCCCGTCTCCTAACAACACACCTGTGAACTCATCAGCGAATTCATCCACTCATGATTATAGGGCCCCCATGATCCAGTGTTCTTCCTAAAGTGCCCCCCACACACACACACACCCTCAGGGTTGTAGAATTTTGCTTGACATCCTACATTTGAATTGTAAAATGAAACCTATTTGAAAAGGCGTCTTTGAGTCTTTGACCAGTCCTTTAAAATAGTAAACCTGTATTTGACATACAAAATAGCAGATTTTCTTACAGGTCTTTATGCAAGGGAAATGAATTCACATTCTCTCTCACACACACACACACACACACTTAGGACACAAATATTCTTAGTAGCATTATTCCTAATAACTAACAAGTGCAAACAGTTCAAATATCCACCAACAAATGGATGGCCGAACAGAAATGTGGTCTAGGTACAAAATAGGAAACTGTTCAGCCATGGGAAAGGATGAAGTAATGATAACATGAATGTGCTTTGAAAATGTCGAGTACAAGATTCAGAAACAAAAGATCTCATTATGTGGAAAAGTTCATTTCTATGCAATAAATAGAAAAAGTACAACTGCTAAAGAAAGAAAGTTGATTAGCAAAGCTGATCATTAGCTTATACAGTACCTAAAGATATACAAAAACAATTTTTAGAAAATTGATGGAAATATTCTCAAATCAGATTATACCAGTGGCTGCATGACTTCATAAATTTTCTAAAAATCACTGCGTGTTCACACTCGAATGGGTTCCTTCTCTTTTCTGTAATTTATTCAGTAAATTATAGAGAAGGATGTTGCCAGGTTCTTAAACCTCACACTTCTGTCAGCAGATGTCTTTGGTAAAGATGTAGAAGTAAGGGCTCATTGAGGGTGGGACTTGCATGAGGGCTATAAATATGTCATGAAAATTGTAAAAGCGTCGTACACTGGTGGGACATTTTTCTCAAATTGCTGGGGAACATTTTCTGAACACTTCTTCTCAAAGTGCTGCAGAGCCTTTCAATTCTCTGCGCTGATAATGAACCCAGCAGGCTTTGATATCAATGAGTTGGGAAACAGAAGTCTGACATGTGGCCCAAGCCAGATCCACAATATGGACCCCTGGAGGTGTGGAGGAGGGGTATTCGTAAGAGAGAAGAGGATTAGATTTAAGTTCAGAGGGAAAGAAACTTCTACATGTGGCCCTGAAATAAAGGCCATGTTCTCACCATCTTTAGAAGGTAGACTTTGGGAAAGATAGTCAAACTTTAAAAGTTTTTTTAAAAAACATTTTTGTGGGAAAGAAACAGGTAATCCATCCCGAGAATACATTTTCTTCCCTAATCCACCCTGCCTAGTTAAACTGTTTATCTCATTTATTTTCAAATGAAAGAACGGTCTATACCCGTTACTATAGAAACATAAAACTCAAACAGAATTTCTGGTTCTCTGAATTAATGACAATGTTTTTAGCCTATTGTTTGAGAAGGGTTTGTTTTCTTTTTTTTTTTTTTTTTTTTGGTACCGGGGATCAAACTCCGGTCTTTGCGCTTGCGTAGCAGGTGGCGAAACCACTGGGCTAAATCCCCGGCTCGAAGGGTTTGTTTTCTGACACACAAACCAGTGAGTGTGTTGTTCGTCTTTCATCATTCTCTGCAAAAGACATATTGTTTAGACCTTGTAATATAATTTAAAGTAATTTAATCCGGAAGGTAGTTTTGAAATAGGTTTTACCTTGAGAAGCCAAAGAGACACTCAAGCTCACTTGGAGAACACAATGCTTCTTTTTAAAGTGTTTTCAACATTTAAATGCCATCGAAATTTTAACACAAGGACAGAACTCTATAACATGCTGATAATTACATAAAACTGACATCAATGTCATGATACATTCTAAGGCACTGGAAATGTGTTTTAATGCGAAGCTTTTTGTTTTCCTTTATTTTTGTATTTTTGTTGTGATTGTTTTGTTTTTCCCTTTTCTGGCTCCTCTTCATTCATTCACTCATTTTTTATTAGTGTGTTTGCTGTATGTAATGATTGCATTTATCATGGGCAGTTGGTACACGTAACTAGCACACATCTTAATTCTTTTTTCTTCCCCTACCTCTCCTGTTCCTCCCTTCTTCCAACTCCTCTGGGTCCCCGTCCCATCGACAAAAGCTGTTTTGTACCTCCTACTGGGTGTAAAGGTCATATGTAGATGTTTCAAATCATTACAGGGACCTTTGTGCAGATAGCTGTATGGCTAATATCCTTTCTATAGCTTCAGTTGGCTGCTATGGGAATACTGAAAACCAGAAAAATCTCAAGAAACCTTGCAGTATGTTTCTACCCACGCACCTGGATGTGGTAGCTCAAGAGTTTGGAGCCACATGGAATCAACAACATTTAACCTTTGCTTCACACGAGACAATAGGAACATCAAAACTTGATTTGCAAAACATTTTTAAACTATTGCAAGTTATGTGTGGATGAAGTCTCTGTGGACATACACGTTTTCTCTCTGTGTATTAAACTGACTCAGCCCAGCCTGGTAGGAGGTAGCTGATCCATACTGTTGAAGTTATTGGTCCTTGAATGTGTACAATGTCTGCCCCCCCGCAAAAGAGAGGTTTTTGCAACAATCAACTGAATAGTTCATTCACAATTCAGCGAACAGTTCAGTGAACAATTCCGTAAAACAAATCAGTGTTTTAGGCACATCTATCTGGAAAACATAAAAATGAAATGGGGAAGTAAATACCGAGGATTGACTTAAGAGAGTTTTGGGGTATGACTGAAGACTGTACATTTTGCTTACAATAAAATTTCTATGCAGATATTGTTAGAATTGAACGAGGTGGGTGACTTCAATTTTTTTCTAGGATCAATAACAATACTTTTCCAATAATATTTACTATGTATGCCCAACACAAAAATGATCTGTAATGCTTTGCCTTGACTATATACATTTTTTGCAAATAATGCTTATTTTTATAGATCAAACTAGAGTACATCACGGGTAGTGGTTCTCTCACCACTAGATAGAGATAAAATGATCTAAAGCTTATCTGATTTTTAAGGGAAATTTGTGTCTTTCCATTTTTAACACATGAAACCAATGTCAGTTTTATAAAATTTTGTTTAATTTCCTTATGTTCAAATTGTTTCAATGTGTTTCTGCTTGCAATTTGAATTCTCCTAAAATGTATCACTGATATTTTAAAAAATCTATTTAGATTATAACATGTTGAAATTTGAGGGCCATTGAATCCTTCATCTGTTTTTTAAGAATATGGGAAATCTCTTTTCTAATAATTTTATTTTCTCTCTTTTTTTAAAAAAAGAATTGCGTTAGCTTTTATTTGTTTATTTATTTAATTTATTTTTGCAGTACTATCATTTTAACCCCAAACAGCATTTTCACGGGATGTCTAATATTTTTTACCAGTAACATTTTGAATTTGTTCTTCTTGACATCTTTATGTTCCTATGCATTTTCTATTGCCCTATTTCATTTTTTTTTTTTTTGAAAACCAAATGTAACAGACTTCAACTTTTTTGTTACATTCTTCTTCTTTTTTCTTTTTCTTTTTCTTTTACTGGGTTGCATCTCTCTCTTTTCTGGATTTTTGGCAAAACTGTTGTTTTTGAATTCTCTTTTTTTTCCCCTTTATTTTCCTCTTCAATATGACCCCAGGAGCCAACACAAAGAAAGTCGCAGATGATATAACCACTAATGATCGAGGTGACGATGAAGGTATTTTTTGTTTTTTCAAAGCTCGTCCTTGATGCATGATTTTATTCCTATCTATCTCTCTCTTTTTTTCATTTCAATCTGTTTTTTTTCCCCTTATTTGAAAGTAGTACACACCAGTGTGCTGCTTTATTTATTTCCTTCTTGTAGAAACCGCTGTCATTTTTAATTGCAGTTACCATGTAGAGCCCTGGAAATCACTCCACAGCTAAAGTAAACATTGTTTCTAGTCATAAATGAGTTTTAAAAAAGGCTATTTACAAAGTTGCCCACCTTTTCCATTTATTTATTTATTTATTTTTGCCTTGGTTACAAGACGAGAAAATGGAATTTTACAACATGCATGTATACTGTCTTTTGTTTCTTCCCAACCTGATTTTGTGACTATTGTGTTTCAGAACGGGTCTTTTTCAGTTTTTTTTTTCCATGCACTGCAAAAATCTTGGACAACTGAGTAAAAAGTTTTTCATGGTGGTGGTATTCAGAAGGTGGGAGCAGAAATGAAGATTTCTTTTTTGATTTTCCTTTATAGACAATTGGATTCGTAAATAGGTTTCAGAGACTCTGCTCACAGTAAAATACATTAAAGAGTGTTTTCACGAGATGTCACTTTTCCTTTCAGGACTGCCTTTTGGCACCTTGTAAAGAGCAAAGAAAATTTAAAAAGATACAAGTATTGTAAGAATTAAAGACAGACCAGAATGCTTGCTTTATAGATTGCTCTGTTTTTACCATGGCTGTCCAGAAAAACATTTTTTTCTCCCCTCATTTTATTTATTTATTTATTTGTTTATTTATTTATTTATTGAGCAATGGAACATTGTTTAACTTTCTTTTTTTTTCTTTTGTACTGGGGATCAAACTCCAAACCTTGCGCTCGCCAGGCAGGCCCGGCGCCAATGAACTAAATCCCCTGCCCTGGAACATCGGTTTTTAAGTCTCTCAAATTGCTCTATAGGGTATTCACTAAGAGTGAAATGATTTTTCTTTCAAAGTTGGATTGTCTGTAGTGTCCACACGGGCAATTAGCACACTATATTTTGTCCCTTCTGTAAAATAAAGGATATAAAAGAAAAAAAACATGGAAACACTGAAATGAGACCTTAGTTTTTGGCTCGGCTTTCAGGATGAGTAATAACACATTTTTTTTTTCCCCCTCAGTCTGGGTGACAAAATGTGTGGAATTTCATTTCTTTACATTAAAGGATAAGACCCCTGAAGAGCTCATGGGTCTTTCACTGAGAAACAATTTGAGGCTGGTCCCTTTCAAATGTCCCAAGAGGATCTTTTTGCCATTTACTTGTTTTGGTGCATTCCTTGATTCCTTTCATAAATAATCTGCTCTCAAAAAAAAAAAAAAAAGATTTTGCAAATATTGTCACAATTCTGCCACTTTAATGTTGTTAGTAGCATTATTTTTCTTCCTCTCTAAATCCTTCCATGGCTCCCATGCCTCCAATGACTACCTAAGATATCCCTGGTGGCGTCAGACTCTCAGAACCCACACATGCCTAATCAGGAGGCCTTTGCCTTGATAAGAACTTCGGAAAACCTAGCATCTGTTCACTGTCCAAAGAACTACATGAAGGAAAACTGAAACAAAGTCCTCTCCACTGAACAATGTACTCTTTATTCCTTCTTTGTGATGTTTCCTTTTGATGATTAGGGTTCGTTTTCATAATTTTCTTCCAGAGTCACCTTATGACCTTTAAAATACCATCTAATTATTATTTAATGATAGTCAGCTCTAATTGTTTTTAACTTTGAATGCATAAGGCATCTGCCTATTACTCCCTGCAGCGCTAGAGAAAACTGTCTGTGAATTATGCTTTGTTACTCTCATTTATCTTCCGAGAGAACATCCTGAAGCAGCATTTCAAAGTCTCATCCTCCTTTCCACAGTGTAGTAGCTGACAGCTGGCAATGATAAAATAATAAAAAGCACAAATCAAAATCCAGAAAGGGACGATTATGCCAAGTGCCATTCCTTATTTAGCAGCTGTTCACTTAAAAAAAAAGAAAGAAAATGTAGTATATGAGTAATAAATACATGACAAATGCAAAGGGTTTTTCACTTACATTATAATTTTCTATGAGAAAACTTTAAAAAATGTTTTTCTGCTCTGTGTTCAAAACCAGAAACTACTTGAGCATGTGGATGACGCTCTTCGCTGTACATTACTGTGAGCAGTGGGTTTGCGGAAGTGTTCTTATAAGTTCAAAGCCATGGTCATTATCATTCAATCTGATTACATTTACCACCCAATAAGATGGTAATCGCTTTCTTCAAAAAAATTCCTTTCTGAAAAGAAATGGTAGTCACTGCTCGATCTAATTACACCAACCACCCAATATGATGACCTCATTTCTTCGAAATTCCTTTGAAATATTTCCAGGGTATCCCTGTGAGTTAGAAAAGAAAAAGAGAAAAAAGAGAGGAGAGAGAAAAACAAATGCACAGTTATTTGAGTTTTCTTCTACTAATGTAGAGTTACTTGACTTGTCTACACACATCCACATCTACCTCAACGTTTATTACTGTGGTCGGTCTCCCCCAATTAAAAGTGAGCCATATGACTGAATCATGCTAAGCAGGTTGAATAATCATACTTTTTAGACAAAAGTTCTGCAGATGGCCTTGGATTTTCTTTTCTCATAGACCACTATCAAATATTATTTTTAGCTGCTCATTAATTAAAATAATAAAGTGATTATGAGGAATACTCATTAGTTTCAAATCCTGCAGGGAGTTTACATTCCCTGTGAAAATATAAAGCAGTAACATGATTTCATCTTTGGTCTGCTCTCTCTTGCCATTTTTCATGACATGTCTGTTATTTTTGTCATTTAAATATGTGAGAGAGAGAGATAATCAAGAGATAATGAGGAGATAGCTCCTAATTCAATAAAATAGAACAAAGATATTTGTTTGGACATTTAAAAAAAAAAATTGTCTTCCTTTGACAAATTTTAACATTTTAAAAAGATTTTGGTCATCTGCCCTATATTGAGTCTATAATTTCACCCCCACTTTTATGTTCTGATTCTGCATACTTTGACCACAAAGTAAGATGGCAGCAGTATTAAAGTTAGTTAGAATTCTGAAGGTGATGTTACCCTTCCTTTCTTAATTATGGGAGGAAAATATATTTTATTGAGGATGCCATGTAGTTCTTCAATCCAAACCATATTTTAGGGTTGGAGCAAAATTTGGGAAACATGTATCTTATCTTAAGCCCCTTAAAAACATTTATATATATAACTTTATAAGTACATATTATATTTATATATAAATCGTATTTTATTTATTTTATATATAAATTATACTATACATAATATATATATATATAAGACACAGAGAGACAGAGAGAGACTTCCTTACTAGGAAATATTATCCCACATATCTGCTTGCTTCTCAAAGTATAACTTAAGTGAATAGCAAATCTAACACCATTGGCTATTATCTTTAGACAGTGTTACAAGGACTTACACTCTTCGTAACATACATGGATAGTCTGGGTGTAGTCGCACACACTATGAATCTTGTTTAGATTAGCTGAGAAAACTTTTGGCCAGGCTAAATTCATGTTTGTTTACCCTACACCGAGACTCTGGATTTCTAAGCCAGAAGAGCTGGGTGAGGAGGTGCCATTACCTGTAATCCCGGCCCTCTGGGAGGCTGAGGCAGGATGACCTGTAGTTCGCTGGCAGCCTGGAGAACTTAGCAATTAAGTGAGGCCATGTCTCAAGTTGAAAAAGAAGGGCTGGGAATGTAGTTCAGTGCAAAGCTCCTGGTTCCAATCCCCAGTGCCACGAAATAAATGCATAGGATTAATTCACCTGAAAACTAGGAAAATTAAGTAGCCCCCTTTGCTCTTCCATGAGCAGATGTCAGCTGTGTGATTCTTTATTGTGTGTCCTTACTTGACTTTTTTTCCAGACATCCATGATCAAAACAGTAAGAAGCCAGTGATGGTCTATATCCATGGTGGATCCTACATGGAAGGCACCGGAAACATGATAGATGGGAGCATCCTATCAAGCTACGGGAATGTCATCGTCATCACCATTAACTACCGCCTGGGCATACTGGGTAAGTAGTTGGGTCCTGCAAAGAATCGAGCAAAATGCACTGTGAAAATTTCCCTTTTCATTTAAATTCCGGGCCTCTTGGCTTTCTACCAATGTTCTTCTAGCTCCTGGAGAATCCTACTATGATGGCACTTTGTGGATTTGATTGGGGAGCTTCCTTCCTTGTTGTACTTTCACTGAAAATTTCCATGGTTCTTTCCAACGTGGAGTTTGTAGTCCTGTCATTTTAATTTCTTTGAATGTGAATCCCCCCTCCAGCCAAGGGAAACCTCGAAGACTTCGAGAGAGAGTTAAGCTTTAATGAATGGGACCTTCCTCTGCTGAAGTAAATGGAGACTTGCTGTAGACATAGACTTGAATCGCCAACATGGATTTGGTAACAGAATAGTTGATAACAGCTGTCTGTGGTGATGTTCTTTTCTCATTGTGTAGCATTACTGATCACTCTAAAGGCAGGAAAACACTTTATCCACTTTTCTAACTAGTTACGTTGCACCTTGACAATCTTCCATGTGATTCTGTTATTGTATTTGTATGCAGTGAAACTTGTCTCTTCACTGAATTTGTTTTCGTATTACAACATCACCGTCTAAGGACATGAAGTCTGGCAATCCATCCTTTAGGCATTTCCATCATTTTACTCCAAGAGTGGTTCAGAAATCTGCACATTTATTAGGAGGAGGAGGAGTTCCAGCTTTCCCATTCTGACACATGTTGCCTGCTGTTGCCTCTTTCAAGAGTGATCTTCATAGGCTTAGGCAGAAAGCATTTGTTTGCAAACCAGAAAATACTCTAACATGGGGTAGAAAATGAAGTTAGGAGTAAAGTGGCTATGAGAAGAAAGATGTGCATCTTGGTGGATGGTGAAGGTGTGATATAAAAGGTGAACAGAGCCAGACGGAGGGAGCCCAGGAAAACAGGAAATGTGGCTGGAATTGTTTTCTCCACAATTCTTACCAATGATATTTTGTTTCCATTTGGCTGATTTTATTTCCCACTGAGTGGCTTTTTTTCATTTCCATGTGAAGACCAACCCACCCATTGGAGACTCCAAGAGAGGGGAAGTGCAGACTTCCAAATGCACTAGAAATAAAATGGGAAGGATGTGCCCTATAGCTGCGCCTTTTGAAAAGCTGATAAAGCACTCAACATTTCACGTGGGTTTTCCGATGGAGGGACATAGAGCAACCAAAAAAGCACTCAGTATCTGGAATCTGTGGCCCAGGAATTTAGCTCAGTGGTTTGGCTGCCTGCTACGCAAGCGCAAAGACCCGAGTTCGATCCCTGGTACCAAAAAGAAAAAAAAAAAAAGAATCTCATTATTTCATGTTTTATTTCTTCTCTGTTTTTCTTTCTTTTTTTTTCAGGGGTTTCTAGAAGCCCAGTCTTGATGGAACAATTCCAGCTAACTTTTGAATGTCTCTCTGAGTATTTTCATAGGCTTCTGGCTAGTTGCTTTGGAGACTCGTGTCTGAAGCAGGAAATTGTGTTTCTTGATGTCTTACAAAAGGCCCATTCTAACAAAGAAGTGGAGAGGAAACTGTGTTAAGGTCCCTTCACACAGGATCTTTTCAAAGAGTCCCATGGTCCACACTTAAGATGCACTTTGGGAAACTGAGAAAACTGTTTCATAGAGTGATGGTCATTGGACACAGTCCTGCTTTCGTAAAAAAAAAAAAATCACAAAATGTTTGGTCACATGAATGATTGAAAGATGCTACTCTCGGGTTAGATTTCAAAGAAATTGATTCCCTTTTCTCGCTGACCCTGAATTACATTAAGTAGCTCGATGCTGTGATTTCTTTATTGGTTTCACCCATTCTTGACTCAAAGGCAACCAGGTCAAAGTAGCCTGAAACTGATGTGCTTATTTTTTAAGAGGAAAGAAAAAAAAAAAACGCTGAAAAATATGAAGGGTACCTTTTGCCAGTACGAGCCTGAAAGAGAAATGGTGATAAGAGAACCCTGGCTATAAGGCAAGGGTGTAAAAGAAGAGATTTAGCATGTCTATGCCAGGCCATTTACATTCTGAATGAGCTACCCTGAAAAGCCAAGCATACCACAGAAGTACTTTTGTGTGCTGGGGTGCAGTGTGCCAGATCTGTAGATGACTGGGGGTGGAGGGAGATAGAGACTTTAAAATGTGACTCGCTTTATCTTCATCTTTGTTTTCTGCTGTCCTCTCCGGCAGCGGCTGGGCAGCATTTGCTTTTTGCTTACAGGAATCCACTATGATCAGTCCTGAGAATATATTTGCAAACCTTTGGCATCAGATATTTAAAGCCATCCTCAAATAAAACAGCATTGGCTCCGGGTATAGCTCAGGGAGAGCGTGCATGCTTCGCATGCTCAAGTCACTGACTTTACTCAGCATCCACACACATGAAAATCAATCCACTGATGAATGAAACAGCTCATGGTGCCCTCATAAGATCATTTCAGAGCGCAATCTTAACGGGAATAGATACACTGCTACCCTAAAAGTCAGCACTGTCTTTGGATTGTTTTGTTTTGATAAGCATGTGTGTTATTTCCCTACTTAAGGAAAGGAAAATATTATTTCAGAGTGTTATCAACATTTCATGGAAGGATAAATGATGTTTTTCTTACCTACAAGAGAAGGCTAAAGAGATGAATTATGCTAAAAATGACAGTAGTAGGCTAGAGGTGGAAAGAATGTAGATTTTAGGATGAAAGAAGCATTAGCGAGAATCTTCACTCTACCTGTATTTTTGTCTCAAGGCATTCAGAAAACCAACCAACTTCCTGATTCCCTCTCCTGAGATACAGAAAGAGGTGCCCTTTTCTGCCTTTTGGGGTGATTGTACAATATAAAGTTCCATAAGCCCAAAACATCACACTGAACCCCATAAATAAATGCTATATTGAATTATTCATCGATGAAAAATAAATTTTAAACATTTTTGAAACGGTTCAGTGGATGCACTTAGGTGACATTTTTATAGCCCCTGAGCAATATTCTTGCACCTGCTAAATTGACTATTATTTGTAATGCCGGACCTTGTATTAGTGCTACTGCTGACCCATCGTTGTTCTTACAAGTGCTCACACTTGCCGTCACCAAAATCTATCAGTGATCATTGTCCAAACGGAACCGCTTTAATTAAAAAACGTAATCAAGAGTTACTTTTAGAGGTTCGGTAAATCAGAAGCTCGTTATGGTTGATTTTGTAGCATGAAAGATTGCTTCCACACGTACTGTCTTGCTAGCCACTAACTGCATTCTTTGTTATCCAATTCATCACCCAGAGGAGAGTTCCTAATATGCAAACAATAAAGAGCTATTCTCCCTGGCAACTGGGGATAAATCTTCATAGAACTCACTATTTAAGGTCCCAGGAGTGCCTGAACGGTTATTCATAAAGTGGTGATCCTCTTGTAAACACTCCCGTTTATTCTGTGACACACTCTGGTCAATGGGAAGGCGTGCACATCTAAAGTTTTGGAGCAAGGGGTCTTCACTGATACCCAACAAGTTTGCAACCTGGTGGGTGTAGGCTGCTCTTACTAACAAAGCCTTCACCTCACAATATCCATATGCACTGTTTACTCCCGAGAAAACAAGACCTCAACCCAGACAACACAGGTGCAGAACAATTCCTTCAGGTCAGGACTCAAACTGAGTCAGTGTAGGATCCCTCCCTCAGGGCCAATACAGAGTTCCTACACTTTGCTCAGTGCTCATCCCTTGCACGAAGATAACTTGAGTATTCTGTACTCTGTCTTTGCTGTTGCTTGTCCAAATGATGACCCAAAGTCCTTTGCTGTACTAGAGAAAAATGTTCATGATTGCTGTTTTCTGTGGAAATGCCAAAGACTCATTTGTGTACGGCTCAACCTCCTCCACCCCCAATTAATTATGCCCACTTTGCATGAGTTTGTATCTTCAGGTGGCTCATTCTAAGTCCATTCATGTATTCTTTCCAAGTCAGCTCACAAAGTATGATTACCTTCAAGGGGCCCTATAAATTGATGCCTTACGGTGCTCTGATTTATTGTTGCTTTTACATAGCCATGAGTATGTGCTTTAGCCCCGCATCATGGAATGTCAGCGGCTCACCTGGCAAGGGGCTGCTGGAAATGTGACTTCATTTCATCTTCCTAACCTCCCTGAAGTGGATCGACCACGTTGATCCAAGGAGGAAATGAAGGTCATATTGAAAATCTAGTCTTGGTTGCATAACTCTCCCCAAGACCAGAGGTAGGATTAAAAATCAAGTCTAAATGAAGCCAAACCACTGTATGTTACCCATGCATGAAGACCCGTGAGCTCCGTGACCCAGCAAAGTGAATGGATTCCTTACTCCATGGGTGGTTTACAGTTGTGAAAACTTGTTACCCAGGTGGGTTCCCCTCCCTGAAATTTTGAAGGATTGTTCATAGCCCATGGCTGTTTTGAAAGTTTTGCCACGGGCTGTGGAACTTGGGTGTCTTTTTATGCTCATGGATGGCACACTCCCCTTCAGGTGCCCTGGAGGCGTAGCTTTGACTGTCAGCCCAAAATGATCTCACTTAAATACATCCAAGGCTCGTAGCACGGAAAGCATCTGAAGTAGGGCTCTGGGTGCCATGCCACGGGCAGGGTTTCTATCCTGGTCTCCACTGCTCGGTCTTGGTTTCTTTCTACAAAGGACAGTGTGTGGGCCGGGCTGTGGGACAGCCCTGTGATGTCCACCAGAACTGTCCCACTGTTCAGTGGGTCCCTACGAGTATGGAGAAGCCACTGGAGGTGGGGGTGTGTATGTCTGAACAGTTACACTCCTGATCCCATGACTGTGCTTTGGTGTGGAAGCGTTTTCCACCACCAAAAGCACCACGGGTAGCTGAGTCTGTGGGTCACGTGTCTGCTGGGAATACCTGTCTTGCCTCCTGTGAAGGTGATCGGTCCACGCCTTTTGCTCTCCCTGGAGAGTTAAAGATGTGACTTTTTATTGGGTATTTCCACGCTTATCACATTTTGCTTTTCTTGCGTGTTACTAG